CCCTGTCGTCTTCATGCCAAACCATCTCCGCTCACACACACACAGCACATCGAAACCCCGACGGGTTTGTCATATCTCAGGAACACCTTGCCTGCTCCGACCCACGCCAGTTACATCCTCAAGCCCAATCCACACTATCTCCATCAAAACCACTTCCGGCAACGTTTTCAACACTCTACGTGTCACGAACATGCCGCTTAACGTGACGGTTTCCGGTATAACAGAACCACGAGGTTAACACTTTTGCCTCCGATAGATGCACAGTGATTTGCAACTTCACGCAACCGAGTAAGCGGCGTTTGAGGGAGCACAGCAGTTGAGATTAATCGATAAAAGGCGACAGCACGCACACGACGAACGCAGTACTGCCAACTAGACTGGAAGCCAATCGATTTTCGTACACCACCATGCAATTGTACATCTCCACCGATAACTGCTGTTAAGGACGTCTACCTAGCACATTTGTACCGGAAAATCTCGAGTTCAGTGCCTGAATGAGTGGCGTTCAAAGCCATAGAGATCAACCGATGGTGAGGAATAAAACGCACACCACGCCTATAACAATGCTAACCCGACCAGAAAAAGTAATTGTTAAGAAACAACCATCTGCGTACTTTTGTAATTCAGGGTGCAGTCATGAGCAACCACTTGTCCTATTGTGACCAAGCACAACTAACAATAGTCTAGTGCATTTACACTGAAAAATCACCGATCTACGATTATTGCGGTACGTCACAATCTCTAGTTAGTAATGAGTTCCAGGTAGTTTTGTAGACACATCCACTTTACGCAGAGGATCCGATGAAACTCGGGGGCGCAATGCTCAATTACCTCGTCGACATATTAACGGTAGAAATGAAAACGAAGAAAGCATGAGGTTTCATACAAAGCGTATCACCAACAGATATTTTGGCCTGATATGACTAAACAGTGCACACAGAAATGGTAAAATTAGTTTACAAATCAAATAAACTCCATTCAGCTAACAAAAATCCAATAAAATTAGAAAAAATGCTAATATAAAACAGGAGAACTATATCACAGCAAACCTAGAGAGACCTAAACCCTCTAGGACGACGGTACACGACGGTGATGAAACATTACAAGTGACGAATTGCCGTGTCTGGTTAGTAAATATTTATAAGACAAATTTCGATCAAAAAGTCAAAAGCGTAATGTCGTATAAGCTTAAAACACATTTATCTTTACATCAAAGCATACACCATGAGTAAAAAGTCACGGCGAAAGCACAAATGTTACACAAAAATGTCGATCACAACATCGATCAATAGGCGACACAGATTCACCGAATCTTAGGATTCGCTATTTTCGGCGTGCTGAAGTAAAAATTGTGCAAGAGCTTCAATGGGATTTGGGGGTCTTGAGAATCATGTAAATATAAATCAGAAAACAAACCTTTCTTTTGCGATCAGAGTTAATCCTTGCATTAAAACAGGAACTACAGTGCGGTCCAAATATGGACGAGTATCGAGGTACCTCAAGTCATCTCTCATTGATTCGTCGCGTTTTTCCGATCGACTTCCAGTCATTGTCCCTCAAAACCGATCCGAACGATCGAAATCAAACCACTTTAAAAGGCCCTCCCATATTTTAGCATCGTCAGCATTTTCACATTTTTAAATTTTTTACTAATGAAAACAGGACTCAGTATTGGCTTAGATTTTTTACAATGAATTAAGAACTTTTGAATATAAAAATGGCAAATTATTCATAAGAAAATTAGCAACAGTTAGTCTGATTATCACGTCTTTGAACCAACCTGGCCTTTTCTTTCACCCGCATTTTGATTGGTTTTCATTTCATCATTGGTGTGCTAGCGGTTCTCATTCAGCTATGCCCGTAAAGAAAGAGCAAACAAAGTACTCGGCAGGTATATAAATTATTATTAACTATTCTCCTTAGGTGAAAAGGTTCTTTGTTTCCACGGTCCACTTCTGTATGAAGCCAAGGCAAGTCTTTGTTTTCTGCTGTTTATGAACTAGCTGCTCTTCATTCTGTCGTTTACTTTTACCTAACGATCCGTGTAACCCAACCATTTAGATCGATGTTTTTTTTTATTTTTTAACAACGTGTTATCATTGAGTAACTTACCAAATCTCGTTCTTATTTGTTTGTTAAACATGACTTGAAATCGCCAAGGGATTAGCAAATTGCCGAAAATAAAAAAGCTTGAAAGATTAAATTTTCAGGATGGTGCATTTTTTGTGAGATTAATGCCCTTGCACGATGTCCGCACAGACTTCAGCGAAGTCTTTAATGACGCCACATTTTACTATAATCTAACTATTAATTCATTCAATATTTTGTATGCATGGTAGTGGTGTTTCGTAACAGTTTATTTGTTATCGCAACCAAATTTCGATTAATTTTGAAGCATTGCCCTCTGCAATGCTTTTAAACTAAGATTGAGGCTAATTGTTCTGAACCATTGCGCAAATAACCAGGAGTGCTGCATTCTTTCGCCTCGTGCCTAAAGTACGTGTTTATCGAGCGATAACTTTGGTGTCGGCCATTGTGAATCCTTCGTTCCCGTTCTGGTTAATAAACTCTGACTTATTTTCAGGTTCTGGACGTTAAAGCGGAGAACGATGAAATCACGTATTTCGTTCATTACCAGGGCTGGAATAAGAAGTAGCTTCGCTTTTGCACACATTTATTTGAATGTTGCTAGTTGGGATGAGTGGGTTACGGATGCTCGTATGTTCAAATACGACGAGGCCGGTCTACGAAAGCAGAAGGAGCTAGAGAAGTTAGCGTAAGTTTTATCGTGGTAACTCCCACTTTCATTTTAGCAAATCTGGCAAAAAGCTCAAAGTGTTGCGAAAATCGGACTTAAAAAAGCAATCTTACCCACCTCCGGAAGTTATTGATCAAATTGGCAAGGTTCCTCAATCAGCAGACGAGGCTAGTGGTGAGTCCTCCCATTTTAACTGCCGTTTCTACGACGTCCTCTAATTATGGTCTGTATTCTCGTTTGGTGCATTATTATCGGGTCTTATCCATTGAGTGCCTACCTCAAATAAGTCCTTCTAGGCTTTTGAAGACATCGCTAAACTCGGCGTTTTTAGTAGTTTAACACACGAAGCTCATTTTCGGCTGGTTCTTCTTATTTTCTCCGCCTAACTGCAACACTCCCTAACCGTTAACTAGGAAGATCTGAAAAACCCGAAGGTCATGTTTTACGTTAACATATTTGTGGACACAGCATCCGTGCCCACTTTTGATTGGCCCGTAAACGATGCATGTGATTGGTCCGTGAGACCTGTTTTTGCTTTAAGAGGGCCCAGAGAGCCCCAAGACTGCGACCGGCGTAGTCGACGACGCCGAGGTGCGGAGTCAAACTGACGCCACCGAGACCGAGTCGCAGAAGCTCGGCCCGCCTCCGAGGTCGGAGGAACCAGCGCAACCCCCCAAATCGCATCCACCGGCCAGCGGTCGCAAACGGAAGGGACGTGGGGCTGCTCAAATCACCGGTGAAACGGTAAGGTGTTTGTGTGTGCAAAATGGGTGTTTTTGTGTGTGCTCTTGTGTTTGTGTGGGTACATTTATAGTGTCCTTGTCTCACGGGTAGATGTGTTTTCGTGTGTGTTTATGTGTTGGTGTGTGTGTATGTGGGTGTATGTGTAGAGTACTCATCTCTCGTTTGTGTGGCAAATACGTGTGTTTGCGTGTGTATGTTCGTGCGTGAGCTTTTGTGTGTGTGCATATTTATAGAGTTCTTGTCTCTCCTTTGTGTAAAAACTGGGTGTATTTTCGTGTGTTTATGTGTGGATGCGTGTGTACGTATGTTAAAAGTTCTCACCTCTCGTTTTTGTGACATATAGGTGTGTTTTCTTTTGTGTGTGTGTGTGCATGTATCTATAAAGCTCTTGTCTACCGTGACGAGTAGCTGTGTGCAGTCATTTATCAAACGATGTTACCAATGTTTCTTTTTTATGCGCATAGGACGAAGGTCTTTTGAAGCGACCGCGAATCAATGTAGTCTTCCCTGACGCCCTCCGAGCCTGGCTTGTGGATGACTGGGATCTAACCACGAAACAATCACGCGTGAGTCGCGTCTCGGTGTAAAACACGTCTCCACCTCCAGGCTTTCCTAATCCTCCAAGCTAATTCCTTTCGATAGCTCTTTGACCTGCCGGCGCGCAAACCAATCGCGGGTATCTTCGAGGACTACCTGGAGCAAACCGGCGCCGAGGCACCGCCAAAGGAGGCCACAGAGGAGTCGAGGGAGCCCGTTATTACGCCGGATCTGCGTCACGAGTTTGTCGCCGGCTTGAGGGTCAACTTCAATTTCATCCTCGGCTCCCAGCTGCTCTACAAGTTCGAGCGACCGCAGTACGCCGAGCTGCTGAAAACCCACGCCGGACAGGAGATGGTCGAGCTGTACGGCCCCATGCACCTTCTGAGGCTTCTAGGTGCGTCCAATCATTGTTCGCTAACAGTTTTAGTTCTTTTTTGTTTGGTTAGTAGTGTTTCTGTTGCCAACGATTGGCCCACCCGCCCTGTAAACTCAAGCTCTCCTTTCGCTACTAAAATGAGTTATTTTTACCTTACTTTCTAGTCAAACTGCGAGATCTGATTACGTTTGTCAAGGTCGACCATGGTAGCGTGGCTGTCCTCGAAGCCATTGTTGCTGATTTCGTCGCGTAAGTCGATGTCGTTTTTTGCCAAGAAGTTTTCAAGCAACAAAGTATCATTTGTTGTTAAATCATGAGGCGGGTTCGCTTTGGGCGACCTTGAAAGCAACCAATTGGTCAGTGCATTTAAAGTAGGGAGTCAGCCAATAGGGTAGAGGCGGTCGATATGAATGGTGAAAATGCTGCCATTTTTTATAAAACAGTCTTTGGCTTTGATCGAAACGGTCATAATTCTGTCCTGTACCTTTATTATTGCAGGTTCCTCGATCGGAATCAAAACGAGTATTTCAAATTGGAGGACTACACTGTCGCAACGCCTGACTATCTACGTGCGGCTATGTGTTGACGCACCCCCACTTTCAATACGAGAGTATCTGTATCAGTACACATTTTATGCTTTTTTTTACAATAAACTCATTAACTTTTCTGTCGTTTAGTGTGTGCGGTTAGAGGGGGTGTGTGTGTGTTTGCAAGAAACATGTGCTTAGACTTGACCCCTGTCGGTAAAGTGCCCGGGTTTTCAACCACGTGAGCACGGGGGCTACCTGAATGGGCCGTCTCAGGAAATCGTGAAGCGATAGGGTAGCCCTAAGTTGTTCAAATCGCCGGCTTTATCCTATTGGCTCACTCTGTTAGGCGTCATGATCAAAGACACCAAAACCACCCAAACGCCTGCGGTCATTTACGGACGAAAATGCCTTTGGTTACAGGTTCTTAACAAAAATCGCTAAATCATTTCACAGCTTTGGCGGCGACGGGTATAACTTAGACACAGAGTGTGATGCTACTCAAATAACTACAGCATTGCCTCCAGGATGGGTACTTTGTCAGTGTGACCATTTTAAAATGTGAGGCTATTTTAACGGCAAATTTAATGATTTGCTTCATTTGCATTTTATAATGTTCAAGCAAAGTCATCTCTGGTTTCGAGTGTATTTCGAGCTGGTTGTTTCAACTTCAGGCGTTGGCGAAGCTTGCGCAATTCAACCGTCCGTGGAGAGATCGATCAGGTTATTCCCAGACGGCAAGTTTCATCGAACAGCCATCTTCAATATTGATCAGATCCAAACTTGCTGGCGCATTGTGCAAACTGTGCCACTGCGAATGCGAATCGCTCGACTACAGACGCGAACGAGGCGGTGATGCAAAATCCAGAAGCTTTGAAAACATTTATGTGGTTTCTCAACAACGCCAAAAAGGCACCGTCTGTGAGCTTATTGTGCAATCAAACTGATTCATCGATTGACGATGGAAAGCCCTGAAATACATAGAATGCGGAAAGAGCATCAGCTTCGAAACGGCCTTCCCCAGAAGTGTCCTGTTCCTCTAGTGCTGTCATTGGACTAGCCATCTACGTCACTGGTGTCAGTTTCTGGTCAGTACCAAAAAACGCCTCTCTACTTATCTACCTCAAAATCCTCTCTTGATGAGAGTTATTTGGGTCGACTATTTTCCAAAGCATGGTTCCCTGAAAACCGATTGTACCTCCATTTGTAAACTACCAATGATAGCTTTAATGTTGAACTTTGTGACACACTCCCAGCCGCCACCATTCTCGGGGTTTCAATTTTGAGTTTAAATCGATGAATGAAGGTGGGTGCTTCGAAGATATTTGATGAGCCGACGAAGACACAAGTTCACTTGGGTGTGCATAGCACCTTGAGTGCAAACTGAGTCCTTGCGCCTGCACTCAGCTAACCCAATAACTCGGGAAGACGCGCACTGCCAATCACAGAGCGTCCTTCGACCTCAGTAGCTCATTGGTTGTGGGAGTGTAACGACAGCAACTCGGCCACCAATCCCATTGATTCGCGGCACGCGCTTATTGTGGACGCACAAACATCTACTTTTTACTCGCTAAAATTGCTTCGATTTTTTGCTGTGCCACGGAAATCGATCCTGGTTGTTTCGACTGGTATACCAGTGCTATTGGAGGGGAGCCATGGATTTTTCAATTTCACAATTTACCGGCGAAAGCAGGTTGCCAGAGCCCACAACGTCGCCCCTAGCCCTAGTGAAAAATGATTTTTCTACCTCCGCTCAATCAGATAATGTGGGTGCCTATCCAACCACTTCGGATGCCTCTGAAATGTTCAGACATGTACAGCCGAACGTGTACGCAAACATTGTGTCCGGTTACCCCAGTGATGGATTTTCTCGACCGTGTTTCCCGTATGCTCATATAAACCCTATCATCGATCCCAATATGATAGGTGCCTCAGAAGGCATCCAATTCTTCCCTTATATTGGAGCAGTCCACCAAGATGAGGCCCTAAAGTCGGCCGGTCAGCGGTCCTTTGAAGTCACATGTCTCTCCTCTCAAGCAGACGCCCAATTGGTCGATCAGATTGTCTCCCCGTCGATGGCTAACGATCCTAGCCAGGCGGAAACGGTGAGAAATTATGGACGGGAGGGTGATTCGAGTGATCAGCGTTGTTATTTTTCGAGCGACAACCAGGACTACGCAACCGATAGCGGATCAGCCACCAACTTGGAAGACCAAGGACTCGGCCCTTACAAATTTGAGACGTTGAATAATTTCAAAGATAACGACGAAAGCGAGACGCTTAGTGGACGATTAGACGATGGGCTGACTGAATGGACCGAGGCGTCCGCCATACCAATCACATCAGCAGATGGAATGATCAATCCTACGGACGGTTCTACGGCTCCGGCTACTCAAACATTTCCCTCCACCGAGCATGATGGCCTTCTGGATTGCTCCAGTAGGAGTTCAACGTCTAAGAACTACGATGGAAATGACTACAGCTCTGTGGAACAGAGCATGACTATGTCCCAACAACAGAGTCATTTCCAAATGTTCCAGGATCCCTCTACAGCATATTCCACCCACGGAATGGTAATGACCATGGATCAGCAGCCACAATTTCCCCCAAACGTAACTTGTTCGCAGCCAACGTTGATGCCTTCGATGTTGCCTTACCAGTGTCTACCCGCTGGTTTTACAACCACGGATCCTAACGCAACAATGGACAGTCTGGCGTCGCATAATTTTGTCTTCTGCGGCCAAGGTGGTTCAGCGATGGTTACTGGACTTAATCCCTACGCTTCTGAGTTGACGACACCTCAGGCTTTGGGCCTAACCTCGGAAGGTTCCGAGTGTTCTATCGACAAGGAACATTATGCACGTAAGTGGCTGTTCCTCGACTCAAAATCAAGCCGCACTATCACGATTTTAACATAATTTAAATTTTGCCCTCGAAAATAATGGCCTGATTATTGACGAAAGTCTGTGCTAAATTAATCCACGCACAAATATGAGCCTAAAACAATTCACCAAATTTCCTGCCTCTCAGACGGCAAATTGTGTTTTTATCGATCGCGCCTCACCTGACCTTGCACGTGGACACAATTCGGCTAAATTATCGATTTTTCCCGTGTAGACAGTTAAGTGAATTTGATTGAAAAAAGAAATGTAAAATCAAATTAAGCACAAGCAAATTACTGTCATGTCCTGAGATTAGTATTTTAGTGTATCACCTGGGCGTAATTGTAAACACCCGTAATCTCACGATCATCATTTACACTTTCATCTGCCACTTTTGGACTTCGACAATTAAAAACTCTTCTGAAAGTGTGCTGTTTCACTTGAATTTTGTGCACGCAAATTCTGTACAACAGCGCTAAATCAAAAGGGTATCTAACGCCGCTTTGCTCTTGATTTCAACCAACTGTAGTTAAATGTAGTTTTTATAAAGATTTGCTGATCTGAGGTCGTTTGTGACAAAGCCCACGGTAAACCCCCACTTTTGTCGGCACAAATGGGAGCCAATTGTGCTTTTGCACAATGGGTTTTAAACCAAATGTCACATTCCGAACTAAAATTAGCTAAAATGCATTATACAAGTTCACATTCAAGGAACAGGTGTACTTCTGTTGCCCTGGTCTCTAGCCTAAAAGTTCTGGTTGACAAATAACGCGTGTAATTGCGAAAATGTGTACTCGGAACCTCGTGATTCGTTGAAAAGCCCATACCCCTAACTACCAAGTCCTACAAATCCAATCCGTCAATGCGAGAAATAAAAAAAATTATAAGGATGGTGAAAAAAGTGGAAGAATCAAGTAAAACGTCTGTTTCTATGAATGCTGGATAATGCCCAGTGAATTCCCGGGGACGTTGACGTTAGTTTCAATAAATGTAAATCAACAAATGCGTCTAATTATTGGGTAACTGGCAGAGGTGACTTGAAATTAACTTTTCTGAGAATTCAGGTGCTTTCGGACCAATCACAGACGCTTGTGTTCGCCTTTTCAGACACCGACACGAGGGTGGCGAACTCCTGGACAGGCCTTCGGAAGGGTGTCATGGTGAATAGTCTTGGCACGCACCCTCACGGCGATCTACGACTCACCCAGGTGCCCGACACGGATGAGCTGAACACGAAGGAGCTTGCGCAACGCGTCAGCGCCGAGTTGAAGCGCTACAGCATTCCCCAGGCGGTGTTCGCGCAGCGAGTCCTCTGCCGCAGCCAAGGCACGCTCTCCGACCTCCTCAGGAACCCAAAACCCTGGAGCAAGTTGAAGTCGGGTCGAGAGACGTTCCGTCGCATGTGGAAGTGGCTCCAGGAACCAGAGTACCAACGGATGTCTGCACTCAGACTCGCCGGAAAGTACCTACAGAACACAAGTGAGGAAGTTTGGCCGCGTTCTAGGGTGTGGGCGGTTACCTAACTACTGAAAACACAGGATTTAGCCAGATAATGGATGTTCTATTGGTGCTCGTGAAGCAATTCTCGACGAGTGGCTTCGACTATCCGTCCATTTTTTAATCGAGAGTCTAAACACAGTGAAATTCTAATTAAAGCGAGATTCCCAAGTCCGAAAATGTTAGAACGACTCCCTTAACAGGTGTGCAATCGCATGGTGGTCCACATCGGAGTTTCGTGTACGAAAATCGATTGGCTTCCAGTCTAGTTGGCAGTACTGCGTTCGTCGTGTGCGTGCTGTCGCCTTTTATCGATTAATCTCAACTGCTGTGCTCCCTCAAACGCCGCTTACTCGGTTGCGTGAAGTTGCAAATCACTGTGCATCTATCGGAGGCAAAAGTGTTAACCTCGTGGTTCTGTTATACCGGAAACCGTCACGTTAAGCGGCATGTTCGTGACACGTAGAGTGTTGAAAACGTTGCCGGAAGCGGTTTTGATGGAGATAGTGTGGATTGGGCTTGAGGATGTAACTGGCGTGGGTCGGAGCAGGCAAGGTGTTCCTGAGATAT